GCGAACGAACGAAAGACCTTCTACCGCCCAAACATCTGGAGGTGCAACAGGCTTCCACTTGCCCTCTGGATGGAGAAGACCGTCAACCGATGGAGATGATACCGATACTGCAAATAGTGGACAACCACGAAGTACCCCTCAATTACACGAATATCCGCCTGACGATAAGAGTGCCTTGCGCTCCAGGAATAGTCGAAGAAATGTGGACAGGATCGATGAGGGCACTGATATCCTCAGTGACGACGATTACGTTCCACCAGTACGAGAAGACATTTTCCCACCAGAACGACCTGAAGATGTGACGGACACAGAGGCGCTTGGTTCCTGGGACCGGCGCGTCGTCGTAGATCATCCATATGCAACTGCCCAAAGTCCGCATATAGATTCTTATGATGACGCAGGCAGACGAATCCGAGGACCATCCGTCTCGCACCCTTATTCTGACCCTCTCAACTCTAACGGCTCCTATCCACCTACATCTTTCTCAAGCCGTGACAGGAACGAGAGAAGACCCAACAGTCGACGGAGAGCGGCTGAGGAATCGCCCACGATCATTCGACACACCGACGCCGGACGTATAGGGACGGATGATGACGACGAAAGTATGGAGGCGGGTAGAAGGCGAAGAGTTGTCGAGTTGCCCCCTGCCTATGGCGAAATTTCAGACGGAAGGAATGGAAGATCGCGGGAGAGAGCATAAGTAAATGTTATTGGACAAATAACGATGGGACGTTCGTCTAGCATTTTCGCTACTATTTCTTGGTTTTAGAGTTTGCCCTCCCCATGCCGTGCTGAAGAGCGGCGCTCCTGTACAAAATTTGCATACTGGGGTATGCGTCTTCCTGTCGAGTACCAATTCACTAGCATAATCTAACTTCACAATGGAATTTAACCTCATTTCATTATCGAATCGGTTTCATTTTTGTTATCATTGGTAACTACAAAAAATTGAGCACAAGCAGGTGTGACTAGTATAGGTTGTCTCCGAGTTCTAATTTCTTTACTTCTTCAACAAGGCAGGAGGGGTGGTTCCGGCGGACAAACCAGTATCACCAGCGTAGGCGGCATTCTCTCCGAGCTCTTCTTCGATACGGAGGAGTTGATTGTACCTTTTGGAAAGGGGCAGGGGTATCGTTAGATCCACCTCGACTAGCCATATAAGGAATAGACGTACTTGGCAACTCGCTCGCTCCTCGCTGGAGCACCCGTCTTGATTTGACCGACACCAAGAGCTACAACGAGGTCTGCAATGACAGTATTTTCGGTTTCTCCTGAACGGTGGGAAACCATGACACCCCAACCGCTGCTTTGAGCGAGTTGTGCACTGGTCGCGAGTAGTCAGTTTGTGTCCATTCAGGTAAACCACGTGATAGTGGTGGTCTAGATCTACTTACGCCTGGATACTCTCGCTGATGGTACCAATTTGGTTGATCTTGAGCAAGAGACCATTGCAGGCACCCTTCTCGACGGCGGTCTTGATGCGGATAGGGTTGGTGACAGTCAAGTCATCGCCGACAATCTATCGAAAAATTTGTCATCGAAGGTGTGCAACGTCGAAATGAGTGCCCTTACCTGGACTTTGGTACCCTTGGTGAAGTGGCACCAGGCCTCCCAGTCATCCTGATCGAAAGGATCTTCGACCGAAACAATGGGGTACTTTTCGACCAACTTTTGATAGAGCTCGGCGAGTTGGACACCGGTGAGCCACTTGGTAGGGTCCGAGTTGGGGTTCTTGAAATCCAAGTCATACTTGTTACCGTCTGCAGTCTCCTTGTAGAATTCACTAGAAGCGACGTCCATGGCAATCTTGATCTTGCCCTCGTAGCCAGCCTTCTTGATGGCTTCTACGAGCAGGTCGAGGGACTCTTCGGCACCAGCGACGTTGGGTGCGAAACCACCTTCGTCACCAACGTTGGTAGCATCGAGACCGTACTTGGCCTGGATCACCTTCTTGAGGGTGTGGTAGGTTTCGGTACCCATCTTCATCGACTCGGTGAAGGAGGAGGCACCAGTGGGCAACAACATGAATTCTTGGAAGGCCAATCCGTTTCCAGCGTGGGATCCACCATTGATAACGTTGAAAGCAGGGCAAGGCATCGTCATCTTGTCTCCCTCATGGCCGGCAAGACTGCCGAGGTACTTGTAGAGGGGGACGCCCTTCTCAGCGGCACCTGCCTCAGCGACAGCAATGGAGACACCGAGGATTGCGTTGGCTCCCAACTTGCCCTTGTTTGGCGTACCGTCGAGCTTCAAGAGCAAGGCGTCGATTTCCTTTTGTTGAGTGACAGTGAGTCCCGAGTCGATGAGAGCCGGAGCGATAACCTCGTTCACGTTCTTTACAGCATTGGAAACACCTGTTATTTTCGATAGAGTAAGCGACAATTTTCATATCGGGATTCCGCATGCAAAGGCTAGGAATAGCATGTGACGGTCTAGTGCTCTTTGAAGCTGATAACATGCAGACGGAGCCGAATCACAATTCCGACCCGCCATTCCGCGGCGACTCTCGTCTTCTATAGAGAAAACGGTAGGGCTTCGAGCCAACATAGCATCTTTATGGACATGAAGATAACATACCCTTTCCGACATAGTTTGCCTTGTCGCCATCACGGAGCTCGACAGCTTCATGGACACCAGTCGAGGCACCAGAAGGAACAGCCGCGCGGAAACGACCTAGAGGACGAAGAATGTCAGTCAATATGAAGATGAAGGTAGAATTATAGTGAATGAGACTCAATAAAAGAGACAAGAAGAGTATTCAAGCAGTATTGGTTGAATAGGGAGGTAGAAAGAGAAGGAATGTTCGTACCCTTGGCGGTGTAGAGATCAACTTCGACTGTGGGATTTCCACGGGAGTCAAAAATCTATGCAAAATGGGTAGAATGAAGCGCGTTAGCTATCGCTCTGAACTCTTGAAGGATTGAAAAAGATCGAAGGAATGATCTTTGAACTAGATGCAGGAAACCATAGAGCGGGCATATCCACAGGCTTTTCGCACTGATATGTACGCATGATTATGCGATGTTTTCTATAGAACGATATGGTTCTCGAAATGGTGGCCATCGCACGCTCCATCGTTCGCACATGCGATGCCGACACTGGACGAAAGAACACCAACTAACCTGACGGGCGTGAACCTTGGTGATAGACATGTTTGAACAAGAGTTCTTTTTCTAGATCAGAGATTTTTATGACTTTTTGGCGGGTTGTGTGGTAGTGGACAAGTCAGAAGGAACGGTTCGGTTGGGGCACTTACGCCCTAACCTCTTTTATAGCCGTCACCGACCGCCTTGCTTTGTTCGTCGCGTACGCGGTTCGACTCTTTCCAAAAACTTTTCTATCAGCGCAGACAGCAATACGCGAACGCAGTTCACGACTTTTGGTCACCTTCGGGCGAGATCTCGGCTGTTCTTCCATAACGGCCTCGTCCGTTATCAGTTCGAGTCGAAATTTTTTTCAACAAGTTGGCGGCTGACTCGTTCGT